CATTTAGTTGCATAATAATTCTGCACACTAATAGTTACCTAATAATGGTGTACATATAGATATTCTCTTAAGAAGGCCAAAACTTCCCTTTTACTACTTAAATGTTCAAGTTTGAGGGTTTGTTAACATTTTGGATTGACCAAGAGCACTGTAGTTGTACAATAACAAAATTAATCCTCAAAAATGTAACTTGCCTAATAATTGTGCACACAGTGTATATGATACATACACAGCGGGTGTATATTCTCAGTTTGGGGTCCTTTAATGCTAGCTTTAGGTTTTCTTTACAGCATAGCAACGTTAAAACAAACAAACAAACAGATTATCTTCTCGACACCTTTTTTTTTTTTTTTCAGCTACGTTCTTATAACCACGTCTCAGACTGACTCACCAGTCCAGGAAGTGACAGTTATGATTTCCACACAAGACAAACTTTTTTTTGTTTCCTCACAGGGTACATATGTGGGTTTCTTATTATGACTCTTAAAAGCCATGGAGCATATAAGCAGCACACACACAATCCATTCACTGTGTGAACTTTCTGGCTGATTACACTGAATTTCAGTTGATTTTTCTCGGTTTGTCCTCATGTAACTGAGCTTGCTGCAGCTTTTTCTTTTTTTTACCCACATGACATGCAGCTTTAAATCCTGGACAGAAATGTGATCAACATGCGAGAAACATCTGAGCAGTTTACAGAACTGAGCACTTCCCGCTACTTTAAATAAAGCAGCAACCACGACACGCAGAGAGAGCCACGCTCTTCGGCTTTGTAATCACAGAGGTAAGACACATCTTTAAAGTTCTTCAAATGTGCTAGCTCAGATGATGTGGGGGCTTCATCATCGCCAAAAAAAAAAGACTTCTGATACATTTTTCATCTAAAGCTGTTGGTTTCAACAGGAAGCGTCTGTCTGACTTATCTGTAAGTGTTACATAGAGCTGGATTTTTTTTTCTCTTTTTTCTTAAAGGCTGTGAACATTTCCTGGTTCTTCTATGAAGCCGTGCTACAGGCAGCTTGTCAGTGCAACGAGGATGTTCTACCTGAGATGAGCTGAAGTCGACTTTTATCCGTTTTTTTGTCCTCACATCCATCCCTCTCTGCTTTACCAGCAGCAAGGTAAGACAGCAGCAGGTGTCTCCGAAGAAGCATTTCAAAGTGTTCTAGTTGAATGTTTCTGGCTTTAGCACACGCTGTTGATCTGATGTAACCGTGTTGAATGATGTAATTTCTTCAAAAGATCCTCTGTTATTTTTTAATTCAATAGTTTCACCAATGGAAACAGTTCCATCTAGTTTATTTTCTTCCGACCTTAAACGCTTGTTTCATTCTTTACGTTGCCAGAGATTTAGAAAAATTTACTGCAGATTTGCTACAATTTTATAAGAACTCCCAGCATAGATGGTTCCTGTAGTGGTCCAAAGTTTCACATTTACTCTGTGTTTTAACTTCTAAACATGAAGCAATGGGTGCGGTAAGAGACACATGATTGTTTAATCATAAGATGTCACTCGCAGACACATGACACACTGATTCCCCCTCGGTCTGTGCCTTTTTACATGTTTCTTAGTCAGCATTTCATTTACAACTTTACCCTCTTCTCAAATTTCAGATCCTTTATTCAACAATGATGCTCCTCACTGTGAAGACCTATCCAGCTTTGGTATGGAGCGTTTGTGTGTTGTTTGCCGTGGAGTCCCTGACTGCTCCCACACCAGAAGCCGACGACATTAACCTCACTGTTGACTCTGTGACTGAAGTTTACGTTGAGGAAGAGTTGCGGCCTACAACCCGGGCTGCGACTCCCAAACCTGCAGAAGTAGGTGTTGCTGCAGCAACAAAGAACACAGTGCAACCCGCAGTGGAAACTCCAGAAACCAACCGTTCAAGTGACAGCGCGGTTGGTTTGGTTGTCAAGAGCACTGCAGCAGCAACACCAGCAGCAGCAAGACCAGCAGCAGCAGCACCAGCAACTCCAGCAGCAGCAACAACAGCAGCAACTCCAGCAGCAGCAGCAATGCCAGCAGCAACTCCAGCAGTAACAACTCCAGCAGCAGCACCAGCAGCAACAACAGCAGCAAGACCAGCAGCAGCACCAGCAGCAACAACAGCAGCAAGACCAGCAGCAGCACCAGCAGCACCGGCAACAACTCCAGCAGCAACAGCAACTCCAGCAGCAGCAGCAGCAGCAGCAACAACAACAGCAGCAGCAGCAACAACAGCAGCAGCAATGCCAGCAGCAACTCCAGCTGCAACTCCAGCAGCACCACCAGCAGCACCACCAACCAGCCCAGATCACAGATTGCTTCATAGCACCACAGCTGCAGGTGAAGCCCAACGTACCCACTCTACGACGATCACAGAAACAGCCCACCATGCTCAGGATCAGTTCCATCAACCATCAGCCACCACCTTCACTGACAAAACTGCAGCAACTTCTGTCGCATTTGTAGCCACAGTGGTTGCGTCTTCTCCGCAGCCCACATCCATCGTAAAGCCTGAGATTACCTCCCAGTTACCTTCCACTGTCTCCCCTGATGAGTCCTCTAAGATGTTCAATCAGAGCCTCAGCAGTCCCTCAGCTTCTGCTGCAACCGCAGCGACAACAAACGCCACATCTGAGGCAACACCTGCGTTCAACCCCACCTCTTTGCCCGGTGCAACAACTGAGAAATCCAAACCCGGCACTGAGCTTCCATCTACATCTCAGTCTGTTTCTGCTACAGGCATCTCCACAGACGCAGCAGGGTCGAGTTCTACCGCTACCTCCATCTCAACTCCCAACTCCACGGCCACCAACAGCTCCGCAGGGATCCTGGTCCCTGGGAAACCCAAGAGGTTGCCGGTTCCAACAACCGAACCAACGCCAGCAACCACCGCAACTCGTCAAGTCTCCAAGAGCCCTTCTTCCGGCACCGAGGCCCAACCCTGCTCCAACCGAGGCGTGGTGAAGCAGTGCCTCATCGTCATCGCCGCCCTGGCTGTGCTGGCCACCATCTTCATGGTTTCTACCATCGTCCTCTGCACCAAGCTGTCAGCCAGGAAGTACAAAGTCAAGAAACCTCAGCAGGCCACTGAGATGATGTGCATCTCTTCTCTGCTGCCCGAGACCACCTACAGCTACACGAGGCAACGCAACCCGGTTCGCAACGGAATCCTGGTGATCCCCGGGGGCGGAGACAGCGACGAGGAATTAGGAGATAACCTCACTCTCAGCAGCTTCCTCCCAGACAATGACCGCTATGTTTAAGGTGGATTCATAATCACTGGCGTGCTTTCATCACACACCAGATGTTGGACTGACCTGCGGGGGTCGTCAGCGATGTGGAAAGCGGTGCTGTTCGCTTCCCCTTCGACGTCGGTGGTTTGGCTTCAATGCGCGTCTCATCTCTGTCGAGGAAGAGACAGAAAAACCACAAATACACAGATACACAAACCCATGACACCCGCCATGAACTATATCTGGTGTCAGGACTCTTTGCATAACTTTACACTGGAGATTTTAAGTGGGGTCGAGGACAGTGATCAAAGGTTGTTTTTTTAGACATCTGGTGCCTGATGGTGTTTGGCTCTGCGACGGGGGGCAGGAAGGCTCTCACAAGGGGTTCCTCACAGACACTGTGCAGTTTACAAAGAAACTATTCAGGAGGCTAAAAGCTTGACTAAACGCTGGATTGTGATTGACTGTTCAGTGTGTAAATATGCAGTAACTGTGCTGTGATAATTTATTAAAAGCGGGTTATTTAACTTTTAGGAAATTAATCTGTAATTTTCAGATTTCCTGGAAACATGAGTGTAATTTGATTTTACTTTTAGTTAAATAGAGAGAAAGCTTGGAGGCTGAAATTTTATAGAAATTACTTTAAAGATCCCCTCCAGTGTCAGTCAAGGTGTTGTTTTTAGTTAACGTGTCCATGTGGTGTTATTTAACGGCATGGTTGAACATTTCTACCTTGAAATTCCTGCGCAGCGATTAAAAACTATGGATTCCGACATTAAGAGTTTCAGGAACTGATCCTGTCAACCAGCAGAGTGGGGCTTTCTGTACCATTATTGCTCTTTAGATTCAGTTTCTTGTTCTAACAGCTGATTTTACTGCAATAGCACCACTTTGCAGCGCGTAGAATAGAGTTTAAGCAGAGCTGTAGGTGAGCTGGTGTGCTCGAGCTGAAGAAAATGGATCAACTTTGACACACAGATGTGAGTTTTTACAATCAGTGACCAAAGAGGAACTTTAAAGATCTGCTTCATTTACGCAAGCAAGCAACCGACAAACGTATTTACATAAATCAGATGACATACATCTGGCATTTATAGGGAAATTAGTTTACTGAACACATTCTGCGTGTCCCACTTGACTACATTAACTCCAGGAGGTTATTTGCAAATGATTTGACCTTACAAACTCTTAAAATAAGGGATCACCAAGGTTTTTTTTCCCCACAAGACTATATTCTCTCTATTATTTGCTGAGAATGTGCAGCGTAAGAGCTCAAGCGATAAATAGCGAAACTATTCAAGTACAGTTTTGTAACATGTGTGTCTCTAAATGGTGATAATAAAAGTGGACGTTCTGCAAACTCGCTCAGTTCCCTTATTTATGAACGGCTTCACAAAAGGCTTTTCTTCTCCCCCCCCCTGGACAGGATTTCATATTCACTTCCCTTCCTGCGAAAAGAAAACAACTCAGTGAATGCTTATTAGGGCCATGAAGCTGTGTTTTTCTTCTTCTTTTTTTTTCTTTTGCCAATGTGCAGCAGAAACAGACACCGGTGACTATCAACAGAGCTGAGACAAATGTAAACCTGGTGGATGCAGGAATTCACCCCCATGCTCCTGATGACCATATAAAGCTGCACTTGTCTTGAGTGATCACAAACACAGCAGACTTGCCAAAAAAATAAAAAATGCATTGACTCACAGGCGGTCACACTCGCTCCCTAAAGTGGTCACACGCACCCTGTGAGTTTAATTGGATGAGGGAGAGAAAAAAAAAAGACCCTGCCTTGTTTCTGAGGGCCTCCAGCGCGTGGCCTTTTCTCCTTCCCCCTTCTCTTTGGTCCACACAGGAAACATTAACCTCTTCCTGCGTCAGGAGGTCGCTCATACAGGCTGACTCTGGGGTTTGTCATCAGTGTGAGCGGCTGAAGGGCGAAAGAGAAGGCTGTCAATCAGAGGCTCCATCTGATAGCAGGTAAGGGGTTCTTTCACTATGCTTTTATAGTTGTAGAGTAGTTACTTTTCATCCAGTTAGCCACACAGGAGAGTGGAGAAGAGGTCCCTGCCCCCACAGCACAATATAAACTCCTACCTAACAAGAACAATCTGTGTGCAGGCCGGAGAGCTCAGACACTCTGGGGAGGACTGAAGGGGGAGGAGAACAGCGGAGAAGCAGAAGGAGGGATTTGTCTTGATGGTTAACGACATCTTTTTTCCTTTTTTTTTTTTTGCGCCATCCAGACAAACCTCCACACTGAAATCTGAAACTGCAGAAGTGGCGTGGTCCACCAGGCGTTCGCCACTCTTTGCCATCTTCTCTCCAGAGAAGTTCACTTTTTTTCCAGACTGGTTTCGCTCATCCTCCTCCAGAGGGGATTTCAACAGAGACACGTCTCCTGCTGCAGTGAATGGTGAGTAAAATGTAGGATTTTGATCCATTTTTTTCTTCTGATTTGAGGTGTTTCCATTGGACACTGCACACTGAAGCATCTTGGCATCATGGAAGTGGATGACAGGATGCTTCAGGGCAGCATCCAAACTCAGGAACATGATGATTAAAACTTTAAGACAATGTTTTATTCACAAGATGAATCCTGAGTCACTGTTTTTGTGTCTGTGTTGTTGGCAAGCAAAATCTGCTGGGTGAATAGTCGTTCTTTGGGCATAGGTGTGCATATTCTGTGTGTCTGTTTATGAGTCTGATTGCACAGGAATGTGTAGCAGTGTATATTAGGTCTGGAGTGAGTGGGTGATTAATTTGACAAAAAAAAAAAAACTCCCAGCCCCCTTTTTTTTTCCAGATGAGAGCAGGGTTTCATGTGGCTCAGCTTGCACACAGATGGAGCCGAACAGGGATAAAAGTGTGGGAGCTGCTGCCAGTTGACACACAGACGGAGCAGAGAGCTGAATAAATATGGCCAAGGAAAGCAGCGTTTAAAGGGCTAGTTCAGCCAATTTGCAAAGTATGAAGCTGTATAGATTAGTTTTGGTTTTTATTATTCCCATTTTTTTTTTTAGAGATATTCTCCTGCTGCCCCTAATAACACAAGGGAGTGACTGGGGTGAAAAATCCTGTCTGACTCTCTTCT